TATGGCCAAGACAATTACGTTTTTGAAAGGGAATTTATGTATTTTTAAATGTTTCATAGACGTTTTATAAATTTTTCTCTTCGGCGCTAAAGAAAAATTACAAAATGTGCCCTGATTTGAGATGGATTTTTCGTTGAATTTTGCCATGTGCTTAGCCGATGTCACTTGCGTGAACGGATCCACGATCCAGATAGTGTTTTCCGAATCGCTTTAAAGGATTAACTTTTTGGACTTTGAATGAAACTTTTCAAGAAACGGCTTCTCTTTCTATTGTTTTGAGTTGGTTCATTCATAAAATTAGCTCAAAACACGATCGTGACTACAACATCTAAGTTTAATTTAAGCTTTTAAAATGCTTCTCCCATTCATTACAAGCATCACTTTTTGCGAAGATGTCAGGTTCAGGTTTTAGACACTTTCGATACGCAACTAATAAATTTTATTCGAAAAAACTGTTTATTCTAGACTTTTAACATAAGAATTTTAAAAGCCTGTTTGCAGTATATGTTTACTGTGCAGAGGGTCAACGAGGCATCGTTTTTTGAAGTGACAACTTCAAAAAAAGCGAGGCCGTCAATGGGTTTCATAATGTTACGTTTGGCCCGGGTGGTAAGGCAATAATATCCTGCTCAGTGTTTCGGGAATATTCCTGGTTTCAACCTTTGAAAGCTTTCTCCGCTTTCGGGAGTTTTCCCCCCGTTTGTCGGCCATTTTTTTAAGCGGGCGCGGGAACCTGAAGGAAAATTACGTCACGTTGTTTACGAAGTTTGATCGGTCAGTTATCTCTTCTTCTCGTTCTAAATATGGTACTTTCGAAAATGAATAATCACGAGCATCGGACAAAGCAAACATATGAGAGTTACACGTTTCAAACCCTTATGAGTTTCTGCTGAATCTTAATACCTATTTAATAAAAGTTTTTGGTTAGAGGAGAGTTTTCCATATTCGGGACGAATTTGGTAGTGGATTTTTTTGCTCAAATCGAAAATGAAAACGTTGCAGTTTAATCACATGCTTGGAGATTTTGCATTTAATTAAAAAGCACTGAGAACTTTGTATCCAAGTGATTGTTCTCGGATTTACAGTTGTGTACGTGTAACGAACGCGAATCCGACACTAAGTGTAATTAATATACGTTGGAAACATTTATGAATCCGGAAAAATCTCCTCAATGTTTTGTTAGCCTCAGCTAAGGACCTATTGTCGTTTTCCTTGGAGAATAAAATTCCTGCGAAACAAAAATTTTAGCGAAACCGCGTGCAGCTGTAAGAGAGAATGCCTGACCTCAAGTAACGCGGGATGATCTAGGGTAAACCTCGCCTGAGGTCATTGTCGAGTTACATTGGTCTTCATTTTTAACAATTATTCATCTTTGAAATCGAGGTGAATAGTGGCTAAATTTACCGAGACGCGGAGCGGCGACTTAAATATTCCTAAAACCACTATTCACCGAGATTGAAAAGAATAATTGTTTTAGTATATACACACGAAGTGATCTCAACAAAATCAGAGAGGAAACCATTAAAAAATGCGATTTGATTGACGGATCAAATCACGCGAAAGTTTAAAAATAGATTTTCGCAGAGTTTTCAAACATGGCAACTCACAAGTTTATCACTTCGCAAACAACGGCGTAATAGTTTAAATGGAACCTTTAAGAGTTTGAATTGTTTCTTTACCTGAGATGAAAAGTAGAGCTTTGTTGTTTTCTGTTGTCTCGCCAAGTTTATAGCCAATGAGGTTTGTTGTGTCGTTCTTCGCAAGAATTGCTGACAAAAATGGGGCCTCGGTTGCTCGAGGTAAGACGACTTTATGTAGAATAATTTTTCCTATTAACAGGAAAAGGAGAATTTCTGCAAACATTTGCTTTCAAATTTGTTTGTCATAAAGATACTTTGATTTTGGAGCCAAATTTTTCTTGCCGTAGGAAACGCTGCGTTCACGAAACGGTCTCTTCAACGCGAATAAACGGGAGTCGTAGACAATCCATCGAGCCCAAAACTCAGCAACAGTAAATGGAAAAACGCCGTTTCGAATCCTTCGAAGACTTTTCTTGCCTTGAAAAAAGTCAACCCTAGGATTTTGTCGCCTTTTAAAAGATCATTCTCTAAAAAAAAATGGGAAAACACCGAGCTCACACATCATCCGAGAGTCCGAGATGGCGAACCGATCAGATTGCTTAAAGCACCACTGAGTTTGTACATACTAAAAATGAAAATATACTCTAGAACAAACACACAACTGTGATATACTAATAAACAATTTTGTTAAATCCACTTTTCTCAGCCAGTTTAAGTTTAAGTCCATAAATCGTCGAATGTCCTTAATAGCAGCAAAGACTCAATTCCTGAAGCTTAATTTACTGTAAAGCTGATTAAAACGTTCGCCTCTTTGGAGCTTAACGAAAACTCGCAGATCCCTGTTAAAAAAGGCCTGGAACAGCGATTGGGGAAATTACTGTACATCCTGGAAGGCCAGAAGGAAGAGAAGATTAAAAAAAGAAAAAAAAGGAAACATAAGGTGCGTTTACACTAGACCTTCTCCCCAAAGCTTCCCTTGGGGAAATAGCTTGATTTGGCCTCGCTCTGGGTTTTGATTACTTTCATGTTTGCGGTTTTACACCGATAAACGCGTTAAATGTCCTTGTGAACATTATGAAGAGTGACGTAAATAGTAAGACGTTTTCGACTGTTTTTACCCCTCTTAAAAACCTCCACATCAATTCCTCTTAGCAATACCGATTCACCGCTTAATTTTAAGACTACAACAACGACGTCGACTTCATTTGCGCTTAAAGAAGGAAAATTTGGTAGCCCGCAAGACAAAGCGGGTCCACAAAATTCGTACCAGCGAATCCTTGCTGAAAGAATTCTTGACGCTACCGATGTGAAGAAATCTTCCAACTGTCTAAAAGGGGCTTTTGAATCTATTCTATTTAACATGTTAAAAATATTTTCCACACAGCACAAAAGCAAGTGCCGAGCAATTTCTAATGTTACTTAGATTTCACTTTCTAATCTTGTGATTGACTGAGCCACTTTGGGTTCTTATTAATAGGTGGGGCTGCAGTGGCCGTTTTACCCATGGGCAAATGGCTGTTGCCCACGGTGAGGCAACGTTTTGTGTGTGACCGATTTCCCCAAGGTGTAATTGCTTTCGGGAAATTTCTATGGATTCACAAAACAACAAATGAATTACCCATGACAGTAGCCGAGGTAAGTTCTATGGGTCAATAAGTTATGAAATGCTAAGGACTACTTAGCTTGGCATTTTCTCTCGGCGCAGGTCTAAACTCAAGGACCACAGTTTAATCAATAACAGTTCAGCTGTAACATTAACTAAAGGCCACTTCAATCCTTTTTTTCTTTGATTTTTTAACACCAGGAAACACAAAAAAGGGCAAATATGGAATATAGGGATAAGGGATAGTAGAGGAAAATATTAAACATTTCCTGAATGTTCTCCTTTTGAAAATCCATTTGTGATTCACAGTTTGGCGCCTGACTTATATACAGTAAATGAACTTAAATGAGTAGAGATCTTATGAAGTTCCCTTACTCCACCCATGCTATTACGCCTTTTTCGCAAAGAGNACAGTATTGTGCGAAGAGGTACGGACGATCTTCATCTTAGCCTTTTGAAGATTAGCATTTAAACGCATATATTCTTGGAAAATTGCATCAGCTCTAGAAAATTCTGTCATAAACGATTTGTCTATTGTATTTTCCGGCTCACAATATTTCAACTGAGCAAGTTCTATTCCACCTAAACCCAGATGCACTATGGAACGACGTCTTGAAATTGAGGGCAAGTCATTTTTCCTTGTTTTTCCTTTAATGAAATTCTTTGCCGATAAAGTCAATAACTTGAGTTTCTTCTCCAAGTCTTTGGCGGCCATGTTTGCTGCAATTTTTTCTTTAGATTCTTTCAAATGCTTCATAAGTACAGCAATGACAACATTAACTAACACAAACTGAGCCGCCAGTACGAACGTAACGAAGAACAGAGGTGCTGTGTATTTGCTCATACAACAGTATTTATCACATTCAGTTTCAGAGGAGCATTTGGAGCGCAGTGTGTCCTGGGAAGAAAAGTGAATGATACTATTAAACATGAGCTACTCCGGTATTATTTACAATTATTTATTTTAAAAATTATTGCAGCAAAAAACCCGTGTAAGAACCTACTGGTTTAAGAACCTGTTGGCAGAAATTTGTCACTTTAATACCCAAAATATATAAGAACCTGTTTAGCCAAGCAAAATCAGACAGGTTTTTATATGCGGGTTAGAGTTGAATTATGATGAACATTTTAACCAAGGAGTTTAGCTTTGAGATTCTAAATTGATATTACAAGAAAATAGTCTACCAAACGTTAATTACAAAAGAAAGTACTACTGAAATTCCAACAACAAAAACAGGTTGACATAAAGTACTATAATTGGCTTCATGGACCTTGCATAAAGGTGGTTTGCAAGGTACAGTTGTCAATAAACTGTATATATAAAGACCAAAGTCAAGTTTTTTTTTTATTTTTTACAACTTAACCTCCTTTATAGAAATTAGAACCTAATTAAGAACCTACTTAGCCTAAATTGCCAAAAATTACCCCAAAATATAAGAACCTTATTTGCCGCACTTAAAACGATGTAGGTTCTTACACATAGGTCTTTACTGTATTCATTATTTGTTCCCAAGCTTTACTGGGGACACACCAGCTTAATTGCAATGAACACGAATAGGACCCATAGGTCTCCTGCGATGTGCCTTGCCACAATCCATGAAAGAGATGGTCACGTGCACCATGCCAGGAATTGTTATGCCCCTAGCAGTTCCTTTTCGTTTCACGAGATGTGACGTCAAAGAAAGTGGTTTGGGAGGGGTTTTTCAACGTTATTCGAGAGGCCAGGATGTGAAGGTATTACCATTGGCAGATGTCACAGCAAAAGCAACGATTCCTTATTGGTTAATTCTTCAAGACCCTGTGTGTTCGTCCGACAGGCAATCAAGCCCGGGCCTTCTGCTCTAACCAACTGAAGGCGTTTGACAAGTTAACTAGCCGTAACACAATTGTAAATATGGGAGGATTACTGTTTAAAAGATTGTCCAGATGACTGTCCCACAGTATTTCTATGTTCTTTTTATATTTACTAACCTCTAGTATACCGTTCCAGTTGTCCCCTGTTGCTATTCTAAATAATGTCAGCATAGCCGTGCCAAAATCTCGGAAATGAGCATGCGGACCAAGGCCCTGGCAGGGCTGCAACGGAGAACACTCTGAGACAAATGACCAAATTAGGCAGTTAACTTACATACACACAAACATACCTATGGAATTCAATTTGAAAATGGCGATCATTCTATAAAAGCAACTGAGCTTTACTTTATTGTGGTAATAATCGCGGTATGTATTCTCGGACTTCCCTATGCTCGTCTCTCAATGAACTAATAGAATAAATGGAGCAACATGTGTGCCTGTGATCGTTCTTAAGGGAATTCATATCTCTGATACACCATATCAAGACCGTCCCTTGATTAAGTCCCTTGCCCTTTAATTAGCCGGTATGGGTATGCTTAATATTTTCTGGCTACCACATGATAAGAACTTACCAAGAGTGCCAAATAACTGAATACCCAGGCAGGAGTAGATAAAAAACAAAAGTAGGAATAGCAGTCCAAGGTTTGCAACCTGAATTTATAAGAAAAATGCATAAATATATGTTTAGCAAGACGGGAAATTCTACAATGCTCTGTGTAATTGCGATTTTTAAAAAAAAAATTACATAAATAATAATAGCTTTAACTTAAAACAAAGTAGTTAGTGAAAAGCAAACCTGTGGAAGAGCTTCAAAGAGAGTGTCCAACAGTGAACGAACCCCCGGTTAGCCAACTTCACGAGCTTCAACACTAAAAGAAAGCATGTACAGAGATTTCAGTAAGCGATAAAAAGAGTGTTGTTCCTGTGAATATTTTTAAACCATTTTGGATCGACATTATGTGAGTAGATTGCGTTAACGAGTCATCTGGGGAGGGGGGGGGGGGGG